ATTATAGAATTTAATTTAGAAAAATTATATCAATTTTTATGATATTGGCATAAAATAATTATATTTCAAATAGGAAATATTAATAAATTAATAGCTATTTTAAATTGAATTTAAATTCAAAAATATAATCTTTAAATAATTTTTGAAAATCCTCCAATACTTGTTACATTACACCGTTAGACTATACTTTTTGATAATTAAGAGAGAAAAAAGATAGAAATAATATTACAGAAGTGCATAAATGAAAAAGTATTAATTGAATCCTTTATTGTAAATGAAAGTAAGAAGATATGGAGATCATTTTATTGATGTGGATGATAATTGAAATCAAATATTAACGTTTAGGTGATGAAGAAATGTTTGATATTTTCAAAGCAATTAAGCAAAGTAGTAACATTCAATTATGGTGAGTAGTTGAAAGTTATAGAAATATATCATAGAAATAAGTATATTAATAATTTTAGAATGATGATATCATTTAAGTATAAATTTCAACCTAATTACAAAGGATCATTAGGACCAAAAATATTTTATTGCATCTGAAAAAGCTCACCATAATATTGTTGATTTTGTATAATTTAATATAATATTATAATTTTATTCAGATGTGGATATTAAGAGCAAAGCCAATTCTAGTCATCGTTCTTAGATTTAAATAGGGAAATAATGAATAGATTTATTGAAACCTCCAAAGTTTATAAGAAAATACTTTTGTCAGGTTATGTAATTAAACAGAATATACTTAAAATAATGATGAAAATTAATTGGAGTAGATTCTTATGGAATTTTTAATTTATAAGAAAGGAGGATATTGAAATTGGAGGGATTAACAAAAATGAAATGTTAATATGTATATAAATAAAAAGAGAATTTGTGCAATGTTTAAAAGGGAAATAAATACAAATTAGAAAAAAATACGAGAATAATTAGAATGAAAACTTATAAGTTTAGATAATTTCTCAAATTTGAAGTTAAGTATAAATACTATGTTATAAGCTATTCAGTTATGAAAAATGAAATAAGAAAGTAGGATAAAAAATATAAAATTGATTATTAATGAACTAATTCTTCAAGAACAAGTAATAAATATTTTAATATAACTAGTATGTGAGATTAGATAAAAATCTTTGAGATTTGAAGGTATAACTCAATTCTTCAGGGGTGGTTGAGGAATTAATTAGTTCAGAATTATCTAAACATTTTGGATGTCTAATAAATCATAAATTTTATTATTCTATGACTATTTAAAAAAATAGCTACCTGAAATATAATTATTGAATTTGGAAAATAGAAAGTTGATCAATAAGAATTAAAAAAATAGACTATTAGTTGTCTTTGCTAACTGTATTTATGACCTCATTATCTTGAGGCTGATTATATTGCATTTGCATAAGAGTACAAGAAAACTTGCAAATGCATTACTATCTATATATAGGATACCCATTTCTTAGAAAGAGATTAGGAAGGGAGGTTTGTAGATGGATGGCCTATTAGATTGATGAATATGAATATCCTTAAAAGAAAAATTAAGAAGATAGATTCAATATAGCTAAGAAACTAGAAGAAGCCTTATGATTTAGAGATTTATTTAGATATATTCTCTTAAAATTTATTTTATTTTCCTTTCTCTACTTTACTTTTTTCTACTCTTCCCTCAAGTTTTATTCAATGTTGATTTAGCTGTTGAAAGTTTTATAGAACACTTTTCATAACTTAATGAATGTATTATTTATAGGAAAATAAATAGCAGACTAAAATGATGGATAAAAAATACTTTATATCGATTTAGGTGCAAATAAATAGAGTTATAATCAGAAAAAGCCATTTTTTACGGGAGTAGTGGAAATTAATACTGATAAGAAATGTATAGAATAACTTGAACAATTATTATAGTTGGCTTGGTGTTTACTTAGACATCCTATAAATTATTTTCTTGAGTATGAATATATCTCTCAAATACAATCCAAACTTATTAAATTCATCATCATATTTTTTTTATGATTATATGAGTAATTTATACTTTGACATGCAAATCTCTAACTCCAATGAATCTATAATCTAATAATAATATTTAGAAGTGCTTGTTATTTTCTTAAACTCTCAAAAACTTTATCATCTGATTATTCATTCAAACTTGATTCTGCTTTAATAAGTTTTAATCGTATTGCTCTACCATTCAAAACTTCTTATGTAAAAAGAAGGGATTTCTACAAATTATGAGTGTTTATTCTAATTTAATGGAAGTTCTAATACTATATTTAGAGTCAATGGAAGCGAGAGGTCTTCATTATTATTTCATTTAATTACTCAATACTATTGGTACAAATCTATTTAGTTATGAGATTTTACTATATTTTCTTCATTAATTGGCATTGGTTCGGTTTCATATATATTTTTCTTATTAATCAAATTATTTCTATGACTTAATTTCAGTTCCTAGCAGCCCAATAATTTTATTTATTTTCAATTCTCTAGATTGACTTTAATTTCAGTTGCATTCTCATTTTTTTATCATAGTTTTTAATTTTGCTATATTCTTTTGATAATTATTGTTGAAATATTATTATAGAAATAGAAATAGTCAAATCTAATGTTATACCGCAAGATAATCTTTAATAGAATGTAGTATATTGATAATTGATTATATATGCGTCCTCCCTCTTATATTTAATTATGGCACAATCTTTATAAAAAGAACACAATAAAAATTTAACAATAGAAGGTACTATAAGTAATATTTATTTAAACATTCATTCAAGTAATTTGAGTGAATTTTAAAATTTCAACTCTTACAAATTTTACATTCTTCGAATAAACGGTCAATTATGAAATAAAATATTCTAGCCATTGTATAATAATCATAATATTCAGAATCATTTTCTATTAAATTCACTGAGATAATTATTATTAATAATCAATTGCTGATCATAATAATATTTAAATTCAAATAAAATATTAAATAATCAGTTGATTAGACTTAATTTCTTTATTCTTTATTTATTATACATAATTACTCTTACTTAATTATAAAATTAATTCAATTTTATTAATACCTAAAAACCTTTCATTTATTTAATGAATTATATAAGAAAAAATATATTATCCTTATTAATAACATTCTAATTTAATTTGATTTTTAAAGACACTCTTGTTTATATATTAAATAAACAAGATTCAAAAGTGATTGAATTATTCGTATTATTATATAATTGATTTTAACTCTTAAAATATTAACTATTCCTAATAGAGTATTCTATTATTGTTCAAAGTTTGCTATTACTAGCACTTAGAATAGAATTGAAAAATTTTAATGTTTTCATAAAATCAGGTCTACATCTAAATAATAATTATAGCATGGTTCAAAAAGTGAATAAATAAATTAAGATCATGAATAGATATTAATAATAGGCCTTAAGTAGAAAAGAGCGTTATAAAAAAGCAAAAAGATCATTATGATTATATATAATTAAAATAAGTTTTGATAATATTACATAATAATGGCTTATTTAATATTTTCTTAATAAATTCTTAGAAATTAATGTTAGTTGATATGATGAATAAAGATGTTATCTACAATATGATATATGAATTATTCAGAAAACAAAGAGAAAATTATGTAACTTATAAATATTTAAATTAGAGTGATTTGATGATTGAGGAAATGAAACATTTCAACTCTAAAGATTGAGGTATTAATTAAGGTAACAATGAATTATATGTTGTAGATTAAGATTAACTAGGATATTATGGAAGATTTTATAAAGATCAAGTACTAAAATTAATCCAATAATATTAAAGTGAAGACATATTTGGTGAGATGACTTAATCTCTTTTAAATTAAATGCATATGGAGTTGGAATATCTGCACTTGTAGCTCTAGCAACAGAAGTATCTAAAGGAAAGAATTCATTAGCTAAAGATATAATATTTCAAATACTTTCATTAATGTTACTTATTAGTCTTTTTGATACTTTCAATAATAATATTTCTATTTAATGTTTCAAGGTTCTGAGATTGATAACTTAACAAAAAATTTCTTCTCTTTCCAAATCTGCACCAATTAATATTGAATATCTCAAGTTAATTTATTATCATACTTGGCTCATTATTTTACTTCTTCAATTAGTATAAAGTAATCATTATCCATAAAATTGTCTTAAACTTCAAATACATATATGTAATTTGATTTTCAAGAAAAACTACTGGATTTGGATTCCTAACTGCTGTTTTCAAGAGATCTCTGGCATCATCACAATCATATGGGACAAAATAATTAAGCCCATGTAGCAAATAATTATGTACATTGGTAATCATTATACCCATTATAGCTCTAAATATTATTGATGTTTTAAGACCACCAGCATTCATGTAATGTTATAAATTAGAATTTTGGTTACATATTAAAGATAATATTAAAATATTACAACACTCAAATCCGTCAAATCTAACCTCTGTAATGGGAGTGTCTTAGACTCTACTCTTTCCAAAACTATCATAAAAACTCTTAGATCCTTTGTATTACCAGCTTCTACTTTTAAAAGATTGTAATTACATATAAATATTGATCATTAAGAAATTTGAGTCTCTTACGATTTCTAAGCCATTGTAATATTAATTGTTTCTTTGACTTGTCATTCTAGCAAACTCAATTTCAGAACAATTGAATTTCAATTAATAACAATATTATACAATTGCAATATATTTCTATTTCATTAATTATTTAATCAAATCATTTATATTAGATTTATTAAAATTTTCTTTTTCTAAAATCCTATTCTTTTATTTACTTCAAACCATATATACGTATGCTTTCTTAACTTAAATAAGATTACAGATATTAATAAAGTAAGCATTTTCTAAATTTAAGTTTGAAAGTTAAGAAATGATGAATAAGAAAGTTCTTCAAAAATATTGACTACTATTGATATAGGTATTTAAATCATGTTTCTCATTATCTCATGTTTTCTTTATTGAACTCTTAAGATGAACTGTAGAAAATGATTTTTTCCATTTTTTATAAACACATCCGTAGAGTTAAAGATCATAATCTTTCAAGGGATATACTCTATGTAAAGAGTAAGGATATTGAAAATTAATAAATGACTATGATATAAAAATATCATTATCATACAATAAATAATCATTTTCTGAAAATTTAATTAATCACTTGACTTTAAAAAAAATAATAATCTCACATTCTTACCAAAATTATAAAACTGAACTTATTTATGAACCAGAATGTAAGACTGTGATATTAGGAATTTGAATAAGAAAAAATTCTAAAATAAGAAGTATAAAAGGGATATATTTAAAGTACAATTCTACATCAAATTTCTATTCAATATCATTAGAATACTTAATTTTATAAATAAGATAGGTTAATAACCATAGGGGAAGTAAATGAAATTAATTTAATTTTAAATAATTACTTTTTACAAAGTTTGAGAAATTGCTTCTTAATTAATGTTCCTAATCTAATTGTTTTTCAATTAGTTGTCCGTCAATAACTTACATTAGCTTAAGCAACTAATTTGACTGAAATCCTTTTTTCTAAAACCTGTTTGAGTAATAGATTTCTCTTTTATTAGTTATAACGCAACACTGTATTACTTAAGAGATTTACAGCTAAAAATAATAAGTACTATGTTATTATTTTCAGATTTAAGGCTCTGTTTAGACATTTATAGTAGTTAGTAGTAATAATATAAAAAGTTAATAAAACAATAATAATTTTTATAGTAACTTTTTGGCAGGATGCAAGAATAATTAAACATTAAGATAATATTTACTTTTTGAATAATACTCTTTAATTGTTTTAATAAATGAAATAAATCAAAGATACATAAACTATAAAATAAAGATTCAAGCAAACAAACAATAAGCCAAGAAAGAGCATACAAAGATCACCTTAAAGTAGTATATGTTTTATGTTGTTAAAATTTTTTGACTACTAATTGTTTTATTAAAGAGAAATTAAGCATCAATCTTATACCTTATATTATTTAAAAAATCAACTTTTTTATATCGATGAGTATATAATATGTTTTGATAATTATTTTGCTTCTTCTGTTCCTTTTCTCTTCAGAAAGTATTTAATTAAAATGATATAATATAGTTAGCTAGTATTTTAAGCTTTGAAATAAAATAATTAAATTTATAGGAGATGTTTATAAAAATCTCTAAAAATAAAATTAATAAAATTAAATTAGAAACTTCATTAAAAGCAAATTATTTTTAATAGGAAGATATAGTAATAATTTATGTGATTTTAAGGAAATTTAAATAATTTTACCCAGATAAAAATAATAGTAAATTAAATATCAAGTTCCTCAAAATCATAATATAGATTTGGTCAAATTTTGATATGATCATTATTGTCAAACTATAAGAATATATTTTCAGATTAAACTTGTATTACTAATTTACCTATTGAAGTAATTCAAATAGGATTATTACCTTAGATAAGTTTTTAATTTTCATAGTATATTCAAGAATCAATAAAGTATATTTAAAAGTTAATTTTACTGCTCCGATAAGAACAATTAATTTTCTTAAAAAAGAGTGAATAATTTAACTTTTGAATGCAGATTATATCGTATAAGGGATAATAGTAAACTAATTTTACTAATTCTTGTACATTTATTTAACAAGAATTAATTAAAATTAATTAAATATATGATTTAGTTAATAGAAGATGATAATAATAATAATATTAAATGGAAATTAGATCATTAATTACTCCTGACCTAGTATCCTTAAATATTTGATAGTAATATTCCCATATGAAGTATAATTCTTTATTACTGATTTGAATAAACAATAAATTTTGTTGTCCCACCTTTTTTTCAATATATACCTACTTAATTAATTTTTAAATAATAAGAAAATCAATAATAATATTAATGGTATATCTATAATAAGTATGATAATACAAATTAAAAGTTAATTCCTTTAATTGGAGAAAAATAATATCCTGCTTTCACAAAATACAAAGAAATAATAGAATAAGATATTTATTTATTTCTGGGTTTAAATACTCAATATCTTATTGTTAAAAATCCAATAATAACTCCTGCACCTATTATAATGAGTATTAAACAACATCAATAATTCTATTGTGGTAATCCAAGATAAAAATTAAATTATTATTTATAATTGGAAGCATTTAGTTCAGGTTCTATTGAAATTTTCATTAACAAGATAAGAAGCTAAATCTTTCTCTTTTGATACAATTTCATTATTTGTTATAATGAATAGTAATACTGATATATTAGTTATTAATCCTAGTATAGATGTTAATTCAACCTAGGTAACAGTTAATTGTTCGATGGATGGATAAATAAAATGGATTATTTGTCCAGAGAGAACTTTAATTAATATATTCAATATTTAAATTAATAGATAATTTATAATTTCTGATTATTCTATTGATGATAATCTATATATAATGTTAATCTATATAAATATAGATTATATCAATATTTAAATCCTTTGAATTAATACCTATTGTATTATAAATAAAAGGAAAGTACTGTTAACTAGTATTGTAAAGAATTCAAATAAAATAATTAAATGAAATAAAGTAGAATAAGATATGTAAATATAAGTTGCATGAATATGGAAGGATTTCTAATATAAATACTCATGATTTATCTACATCTAATAAACTTATTACTAGAAATCATTCTCTTATTATTCTATAATTTTAAAGATAGATTTCTATTAATTAGGTTAATAATCTTATTTTTAGTATAACAGAATCATTATTACTCAATATTCATAATGTTACAGATACATGATGTCGAATCTATAGTCCTAATTTACTTTATTATAATAAGACATCATGGTCTGATGTACTTAGTTTAAATAAGTTTTCGAAGGAATCATAAATACAACTTTAGTTGAATCAAATACAAATATTAATAATTATTTCTATCTAAATAATATTTAACATCATAGAACGTAGATATAATAATTACAACATATTAAATCATAAATAAATTAGCTAATGATATTACTGCTATAAAATTAAATTACATTTACAGCCAATATGACATAAAATTAAATCAATATTAACTAAAAATAATAATAAAAATACTCTTTAATTATTGGAATTCAAAAATTCATCTCTTGTTAATTTAAGACTTGGTAGTACAGGTGTTGATTATCACCTTAGTTTTGATTTTGATAATGAAATTAGTTTTGATTATAAAAATGACAATCAACTATTAATTTTAGAATACAATTAATTAGAGTAATCTAATGTACTATTCATTAGTATTTTAAAATTCATTATATTCTATAATGATGATTAGTCATTAAAATTATTATTACATAATTTTTCATTTTGAAATTTTAAATTTAAAGCACTTCGTTTATAGAAAGGAAATTATTAATGGGAAAGTTAAGGATTGGATAAAAACAAAAATAGTTGAAGTTGTTTATCGTCCATCAAATAATGAATTAATCAGAAAAAAATTCAAACAAGAGGAATAATTGTATAAATGATTCAACACCATTTAAATAATGGTATGCCAAAAAATATAATGTAGAATTAGAATAAATAAAGAAGAAAGTATGAATTATGATTTTAATATAGGATGCATCAGATGAATAAACAAAAAAACCTAAAGGTCTTATGAAAACTTGAACAAAAAGCTAAAGAAAATGTTTTTGATTAATTAGTCTAAGAATAATTTGCCAATTAAAGATTATTGGTTAGAATAACTTCAAGATCAGGTTAATCAGGAAGGACTGATGATTATTTTTGAAAGGAAAGGAATTAGAATTCTATAGAAAGAAGAATGAATAGAAGAAAAAATGATATGATATGATATCAAATCATATTACTACTGATAGAATATATAAAAATTTAATTTCCTGCTACTCACTTTAGTTTTAAAATTCAATTCAAAGTTAAATTTAATATTTAGTTAAAAGATCTGATTAATTTAACTAATGTAATTATTTATTAGGATCATATAAAATAGTATCTTTCTTATTCTTTTATTTTAATAATTATTAATTAGAAACTGATGAATATTCAGTTTGTATTTGATTAATCTTGTTTATTATTTTCGTTCATTAATAATAACATCTTTTAACTAATTTTCTTGATTAATGATGAGAATAATTTATTTAATTCAAATTATATATTTTGTTATTTGATCTGAAAAATTTTGTTTGGAACACTTTCTGTAAAGAACAAAATGTACTGAAGCAAATGTTTTAATTAACACCAATGTATGGATTCTGGGTATATAGTACTTTATTAAAATACAGTTAATGTGATGGAAAATTAACATGTAAATGGTCACCCTAATGTGTATAAAATGTAGCTTATTTTGATCTTAAATCTGAAGTTTATTTAAAGCTGTTACTTTATAGAATACTAATAGTGCTTGGCTTACTCTTTAGACGAGATACCTACTCTCCACAAAAAATTTTTTATTTTTTCATTTTTTTTCTCTTCTAGAACATACCTGCCACAAACAATACAGAGATGATTTCTTAAAGGGATATTTGACAACTTGTAGTATTAAGGTACTAAAACAACATGTGATGGATTCACTATTACAATTATTTTTAATATAATTATTAGATATTAATCATATAATATATTAATTAATATGATAATAAAATTAAGTAAATATAAAAAAGATATTAAAATCAAAATATTTACATAAAATGCACTAACACTAATAGGGCTACTGATACTTCTGCATGTCCTGATCCAGTATGTACAGATAATACTGATGCTACTACAGATGATGCATGTAAATCATTTTACGCTAAATGTTTAACAAACGGAACTGGATGTATAACAGCTAGTGCACCCTGTACTTTTTTTTCTTATGCAAATACAAAATTTTGTGTAAAGTTTACAGGTCGTGATTAGACTGCTCCTTGTAGGTGGAAAAGTGGAGCTAATTTTGTAGATAAAACTTGTAGTGATGTGGATAGTTTTAATACAATTGATGATTTATGTAGTAAATTTTAGAAGGATGCGTGACAACTGAAGCTGGATGTTTGTCAAGTTCTTAAGCATTTACAAAAGGATGAGCTAGAAGAGAAAATTTGTACTATTGAAGTAATATATAGTAGTATAAAAGAAGCAACAAATTAGGCAAGTTGTGATGAAGTACTACCAAATAGATGTGTCTTTGTTAATAATGGTGTGTGCTTTAATAGAAAATAGTAGTACTTAGTGATAATTGAGTAGCTGCTGGTAAAGATTTAGTTAATATTCAAGTTATTGGAAAATTGGTGATACTTGGTATAGTAAGTGGAATATTTGCTTGTAATGCTGGAGTTACTTGTGGTGCATTTGATTCATCAAATTCTGGTACATGTGCTACTTTTATTACTATTCATGGTAGTCTATGTAAAGCACAAGCAACTGGAACAAGTGCTTGTATAGATGATATTTGTTTTGCTTATATGCTAATGTTCATGATTATAAAGCGAAAAAGTAGCTTATTTTACTCCGTATCAAGGTAGTGCAACTGCTTAATTATGTTACCATAATGGAAGTGCTTGTGCAGAAGGAGCTTTTGTAAATACAAATACACATCTTAGATTTACTGCTTCATCATTTTCATAATGTATTTCATACTATGATTTATGTCTATTCTCAAAACTAGTAGGTAATAGAAATACTGCTGATGGAGTTACATAAGGATGTGGATAAGTTTAGGGTACTGCATATGAGTGTTTAACTTTAAAAGGTAAATGCATGGTTGATTCTTTATGGAAATATAGATTATGTTAGAAATATAATTCAGGAACAACTGTAGCTGTATGTGTAGATAGAACATGTGCTTAAAGAATTGATGGAAATACTGATGCTATTTGTTAAGCTTGGCTGACTACTTGTAAGACCGATAGAGTAGACGGAGTTGATATTACAACAGTATGCACATCAATGTAAGGAACATTGAAAAAGTTGTTAATTATTTGCTGGTATAGTATTGGGATCCAAATGTTAAGGTAATATCTCTGTCAATATTGATTGCCTTGATAAAGATGTTAAGATAATGGAACAGCAACAACAGATTTAGATTGTAAGAAATTTATGGATGATTGTATAACATCAGGTAAAGGATGTATTACTGCCACAACTCCATATTCTGGTTAATGGGAAATTAATATGGATTGAAATTATTAACAGGAAATGGAACAAAATGTGATGCCAAATAATCATTTTCATCATTGAAAGGTAAATCTGCTGGTAATTGATGGATAAAATCATGATATTTATTTTTATAACAAAAAGAGAGTTGGTAAAATTTATTATTTTTTAGATTCTTTTAAATTGTGTCCTTTTAAATACAGAAAGTTATATAATTTGATTAATTCATAAATTCTTTAATGCAATATTGTAAGTTTATTTCATAATTTATATTAAATTCTTGCAATTGAATTACTTTCATGAATTAAAGTAGGGAATTTATGAAGTCTTAACTAAAATCTAATCAACACCTTTTCAAATTTATTTAGTAAATATTAAGGATAAGAATTATTTTGGATATTATCCAAAATAAGAATACCTCAATAATCCATTGTTGAATTTTTAAATGGGGATTTGCAGCTGTAAAATGAGATTAAATATTTACGAAAACTCAATAAAATTGTAAGTTAAAGATTTTATGCCTTTTGAAGCATAGAAAGAATACACAATTTTATCAGATCTTAAATAATTGCAAGAATAAATAATCTAAGTTCCAAAATATTTATATAATTAGATATATAATGATCAAATAGATATTTTTTTATTTGGTAGAATTTTATTTTATTCGATGATTGGAAATGACTTCCAACATTCAATATCAAAATTTAAAGTGAAATATCATCAGATACAAATTATTAAAAATTTATAAATATCAATAAAGAATGATAAATATTTTTTGTAAAATTAATTAAATTATAACAATAATATTGTTTTTAATAGACTGAATTAATTTTTCTATTGCTTAAACAGGTTATTCCAAAAATTTGAAGAAATTAGTGAATCAATGATATCAATAGATTTAAACAGAAGAATTGATTATTCGTAATTGTTGGCAAAATTTAAAAACAATAAATTCTATTCACTTTAATTTATGGAATGAAAAAGGGTTAAATGATTTTAAAAAGAGAGTATTAAAATTTTAGTGAGTCATGTTAAAATCTTTATGATGTTCTTGAATAGTAAAAGTTTTATTAAAGCTCTAAAGAAGATAAAAAATATGGTTGGAAAGATAAAATATAATATAGATATCAATTAAAAATTATTATTTTAAAGGGTTATATTTAGTTAAAGAAAGTACTTGAGATGAATAAAAATGATGGGTTGCTAAAAGATCTATATAAATTTAAAAATATTTGAATGAAGTAAATTATATTAAATAAACATTACCCTTTTTGATTCATGTGATGATAATAATAATCCTTACACAAAATTGTTAATTTTGATGTGTATATTGATTAATAAAATATGTGATGCATAAAGCATTCCTTTGCATTTTAAAACTATTTTTATTCTTAAAGAGCAATTCAATAAGTTCAATAGTTCAAGTTGAACAATTTCTAAAGAAAGGAAGAATCTATAGAATAATTTGATGAATTAAAATTAATGTATTTTTAAGGTTGAAATGAAAATGATTATTATATTAAAATTAATTTATAAAAGAATTGAATAAATAATATTTTATTTTAATAGTTATTTTCACATTGATAATCTTCATTGAGCTGGTAGATCTTTTATTGCAATTCCCCAACATTTAAAGTTTTTTGATTCTCGTCATTTCCATTTTAAATTTAATTCAGCAATTACCTTTTTAATCCAAAGTATTATTGAGAAATCAATTAAGGATGATTTATAAGGAATAAAGTTTAAGTTTAGGATTTCAAAATGCTTTTTCTTTTTCGAATGATCCAATTCTTTGCTATATTAAACTTTAGTAACATAGTTTTTGCCAAACATATGATGGAAATACCATAAATAAGCAGAGGCAGTAGTAGCTGCCAGAACATTTATTCTCATATTGTATAATAAGGATAAAATGAAACATCAATTTAATGGCCGAATATTAAATTGATTTTGTATATTATTTTATAAGGCAACACACAACAAACCCAAGCACCACCAGACAACCTTAAGTCATTCTTGTAATCTTATGTTTTCCTAGATTACTTTTCCTTCTTCAAAGTTTAATGTAGGATCAGGATCAGCAGATTGATGTTATACAAATGGTTGATCATTATAGATAGGATGATACATATCACTTTCTAATCTAAATAATCTTTAAAAAGAATTAGCAAAAAATTCTGGATGTCCCAATCTGTCAGCCAAATAAGGGAGTCTCAAATAATATGAAGTTTCCATATCATATTTTAAACATTTTTCTAGATGGAATTTCCTTGTAACTGGTCAAGAAACACCAATTCTTTTTCATTTTTTTCTCACTTTTTGTTTTCTCAACTGGAGCAATTATTTTATGCAATTCATCTCTTTACATTCCTAAACACATTTTCATATTCCATCTCTTCATTTTCTAAAATACCTGTTTAAGCATAAACTCAATTGGAGAATAATCTCTCAATCAACAAGTAACATTTTTGTTACCCTAGATTAACCTTTTAAATAAATCCAAATTCTTAATTGCTTCATCAACTTATCTTTACATTGCAACATCTCTCTTTACTCCATAAACCAGCATATTGTAAGTCTCGATAGTTAATCTTTATTTATAATCCTATCTCTAAACAGAAATGTAGTCTTCACATCACATTCTTTCTTTCTAATTCATTTTAGATCATATTTATTTACCTGTTATTCTTTGGATAGCATTCTTAACTATTTGACTTGCAGGAAATTGTAGCCTATAATATCACATTTCTATAAGTATCATTTTAATTAAAATATTAATAGGTATACAATCATTACCGACCAAATCATAAATCAATAATCTAATGTAATAAAATTTAAGTAAATATAGAAATATAAGTATGGATTGAACAGGATTTGAAAGACTCTAAGGAAATAAAAATGTAGAATAAATTTCTGACTTATCTAATGATGTGAATATTTTATTAAAATCACTATTATTTGATAAAGATGAAGATTATTATTAAAAAAATGTTTATTTGGCAAGATGGTCTTTAAGAGGAATTGTTAGTATGTAATTAGTAATAGATTATTCAAATAAATATTAAAAACTTATTTTTATTGCATCTGGAAGTGTTGATGGTTATACCATTAAAGAACCAGTATTAATTTATCATTGAGAAATGGATTTAGTTATATCATATATTTAAGAGGAGGGTAATGCTAAAGAAATTGGACAAGATAAATATAAATACAAACTTATTCTTAGACCTGGGATTGGTCACATGGCTCCAATAGAGGATGATGCTAATTTAGCTTAAGAAATTAATAGTTTTATTAATTGATTGTCTATTTATAAACTATAATAAAAATATAATGATACACTTATTTATTTAAATTTACACATTAGTAAAGTAATAGAAATATTATTAAATTTATAAAATGAATTCTTCTAATTTGAGCTGCCAATAATCAACTAAATTTGAGGAATAAATTATTGAAAAAGAATTATTATATTCAACATATAAAAACAGAGCTTTGAGAAAATTAAAATTCATATCAAGTTCACCTTAGATTAAAAAATCATCTATTTATACAATGGAAAAATTTTAGGAATGTAAATTTAACTTTTAATTAAAATTATAGAGCAGAATGCCCTGGTGTTAGAGAGAAACCAGAAATATTTAATAATTTGGATCAAATCCACAATCTTTCATGGTAAGGTTAGTTTGATGAAAACAAAAATAAAGTTGGTAAATGGATTGTTTTTTGGAAGAAAGAACTTCTTAAGCATGCGGGAGGATACTATAAAGAAGGGAAAAAGTATGGATTATGGAAAGATCAATTCTTAAACTATTCGAGGTAATTACTAGTAGCTATTAGAACAAATAGACAAGTAGAAATTTTTGATTTTGGAGAATATTATAAAGAGTTGAGAATTGGAAGATGGAACTATCTTAATTTTGCGAAGATGATGTATTTATTTAAAAAATTTTTAGCTGTTGTGGGTTTTACAATAAAAAAGGTTAAAAGTAATTAAATGGATTGAGCTAGATGAAGGATTTCATGATCCTAAAAAATCACTCATCATGGAGAATACAATATGTGCATAAAGGTAGGTAGATGGGATATTATGTATTCTCATTCGAATAAAAAGGAATACAAATACATGTAAATTTTATTTAAGTATTAAGTGGAATAAAAATGTATATATAGTGGTGGTGGATCATATCATGAAGATGATTAGATGAAGATTGGAAAGTGGATAGAATTAGATGAAGAGTTTTACTTTGATAAATAAGATACTCATGATGGTTAATATAATAAGAATGGTAAGAAGGTAGGTAGATGGGATATTATGTATTGTAAACCCTATGAGTAGGAATATAAATAAATGTATATATTATATAAGTTATAAAGGGGGAATATAGTGGTGGTGGATCATATGATTAAGAAGGAAATTAGGTAAAGATTGGAAAGTGGGTAGATTTAGATGAAGGGTTTAACTTGAATAAATAAATTACTCAAAATGGTAAATAAAATATGAATGGTATGAAGGTAGGTAGATGGGATATTATGTTTTAGTGAATATGATGATGAAAATTATAAATAAATGTAAATGGTATTTAAGTTATAAAGGGGAAATAAAATGGTGGTGGATCATATCATGAAGAAGGGAATTAGAAAAAGGTTGGAAACTGGGTAGAATTGGATGAATTCTTTTATTGTAATCAGAGTATTGATTACTAAGTCACTCATAGTGGAGAATATAATCTGAAAGGTCAAAAAGTAGGGATTTGGTTTGAAATGGATATAAAACGTAAGAGAAAACAAGGAGAAAAGATATATGATAATTGAAAGAATATAAATGAGATATAAATAAATACACATTCAGGTATTATTTTTAAAATTATGAATATGCTTATAATCAGTCAATTAGAACTTTGATTTTTGAATTCATAGTAAAATAAAATTATTTTACTTAAATTTTTTTTTTTACATAATATTATATTATATATTTTGGAAATTTATTTTTATTAATCATTTTTCATTCTCTTATATTATTATTACAATAAAATGATTCATATATTAAAGAACCAAAGTAAAATATTGATCAACTTAAAAAATAAATTAATATTCTTAAGTCATTAAATTAGTAAAAACAAATTATTATAGACAAAGAAAAAAACCTTGTATAAATATTCACCTTTGCAGTGTTATCCACTTCTTTAAACTTAGTAATATGTTGAATAGGCCTAGGTGTTCTAATGGCATGGATATTTCTAAGTGCTTTTGTAGGTATACACAAAAATTCTATCAATTTATTATATTTGTTTTTCTTTATTATTTTACTTATATCAAAAATTATTAATTAAATAAACAAGCAATATCAGACAACCAAACAATTCCTCAAGAATGTAAAATCTATTTATTTTTAAGTAAATCTCTCCTTTTGGCTCTATACATTTCAATTAAAACTATATGTTTTCATGATGATTCTTATAAATTTTCTAACAAAAATCATTGATATGGTTACAGACTAGGTTTCCAAATGAAAGGCAAAGAAAAAGGCAGCATTTCTTCTAATGAAGCAATCTTAATCCAATCTTTTTGACAGAAAAACTGTTTAGATATGAAAATTAATTTATCAAACTCTAATATTTATGTACTTTTTGAGAAATTTATAAATCATGCTTTAAAGGATCTAATAATATTCACATTTTTCTAATATTACTAAGTTGCTTATCATCAAGCATTTTTCATTTTTTAATGTAGACAACAGCAGTTCTTCATATTTTTTAAATATCTATATATGATAACAATTATGCAGTTTTTACAATTAATATTGTAGAGATAAACAATTTTTGTTAAATATTTAGTCTTCAATTGATGAGATCAATAAAATTTAATGTTAATAGCTTTGAATATCAAATTCATATGATTTGATTTTTTTTATTCCATTTGTAATATTATTAAAGTGTTTTAATAATCTTTTGTTTTCATTGTTATATAATTACTAAATCTAAGCTTGTTAAATATAAGAATACTTTACTAATTATGATATATGAATTTTGAAATGCGATTACTGTTGTATTTGAGATGCTAAATTATTAGTTGTATGAATAATTTAGATTACAAGTGATAATGATCATGATATATTGCTAAAAGACAACTACAAAGATAGATTTAATATGTAATGAACATAAAAATGAAATAATATTATCTAATCAAGAGCATAGCTATAAAGAGAGAACCGAGCTAGAATTGTTGAAAGTGATCAATGTATTTTAATTAATTGTCAAAATGTTACAGTTTTCATAAAACTAGGAAAGACAGCAATCTGAACATTTATATGAGTTTTATTCATCCAGAAATAATAAATTGGAAATATCAAGTAAAAACCATTTAAATTCAAAAGTTGCTTTACCAAAAATATCAATACTCAATAGTGATTATTTTATTTAACAAATTTGATTATGAATTAAAAATATCCTCTTCAAATTCTCCAAAAAAAAATTGTTTAGTAATTTATTTATTAGACTAATAAAACTTTATTTTTCATTAAATGTATTTCCCTATTAATGTTCATTTATTATAAGGCACCAAATAATTTTGAAATATTTTTTTTAAGTGAAAATGGAATATTTATAATTATCACTAACATATCATATCAGATGATTCTTGACTTAATATTTCTTATTAACTAAATATAAGAATCTTAAACTTTGAAAGTAGCCTAGAAAACTATTTTATTAATTACGAAAACTTTTTTTTATTAAAAATATTATATAAATAAATAATGATTATGATGAAATTCACAATGTAAGGGTTTTTCTTGTTTGAATTATATCTACCATTTCAGTTTATACCCGATTAGAATAAGAAAAAATCCTCAAATTGGTTTATTTTTGTTGCCCATTTACTGTAAATAAAGAAGTAACTCCTTATTAAGAAAAGTTATTGCTAATAATTTAAAACATTTATCCTCTTCCATACTTAATAAAATTATATTTTTCTGTAGCTTGTTTAGCTTAATTCAAATCTTAAATGAGTTAAGGACAATTGGAAAGGAGTCTTTAATTTTTTTAGATTTGTAATATCATTTAATCAATTTTATCTTAAGCCTCTTAAAATTGTTATTATTCACATGCTTTTTGTGCTTAATCTATAATTTCTGTTACTATCACTCTATAATATTAAGTCTAAACTTCTAAATCTTCTTCATTTTGTTCTATCTTTTCATCATGGTTGAAGAATGTTAAAAATAAATTAGATTATTTAAAGATCGTTTTATTTGTTGATGGATCATTAATTTATAATTTTGCTTCCATAATCAATTAATGTCTTTGATTATCTTTAATTTTCATAATAAATTTAGGTAATTCTAAAATGAAAACAAAATCTTTTCTCGATCCTTGTGTCAATTATGGAAGAGTTATTTAATAACTATTTTAATTGTATTCCCACATCTTTCCATAGGTCTTATACATTTTAATATCTTAAAATGGTTTAGATGATTTTAATGTAACATTAATTTTTAATTCTTTACCAACTACTGATATCAAACCTCCAAAAGCGTCAACAAAAAATTCATCTAATAAACTTGTGTCTTAAACAAAATAAAAACTTCCATGTTTTAAATTACTTATAGATGTCATCATTTATGCATCATGATCTTTTCCAAATCCAAATGTAAAAATAGTAAATTCCTCATTTATTCTTTATAATTATTTTGTAATGGATATTTTTGCATTCTCATCTTGACCATCAGATAACAAAAATATAGATGTTACATTATTTCTATATTTTCTTCTTTTTATTTATTCAAATGCTATTTCAGTGGCACTTGAAATATTTGTCCCACCATTAGAATAGATTTATTCAATAAGCTAAGTAAAATATTATTTGTTTGTTTTAGTTGTGCATTTTAATGGAGATAACCTTAATGCTTATCCATCAAAAGTAATTAATTGCAAACGATCCTGATCAATTAAAAACTCAAGTAATATTTTTAAACTTTATTTCACAGTTTATAATTTTTCACCTTACATACTACCACTTTTATCAATCAAACAAATCTATAATAATTTTTAATAATACCAAATCAACACCAAGCCTATTTGATTTGCACTCGTTTTTATCATCTTTAGTTTTAATACTTATAATAGCAGGTAACTATTATGTTGTTTAATCAGATAATTTCTTCAACTTATACATAGCCTATATTTCAAAAGTCAGATTTTCTTCTAGATTATACATTTTAGTTGAATTATTCAATTTTTTTGAAGGTATTATTACTTCATCATCATCATAATTATTCTATTCTATTAATCTCTCCGATATATTTGTCTCATGTATCAACCTAGGAATAGCATAAGTTGATTTTGCTGACACTATTTATCTTTTAGTAGCAGAAAATTTAAACAAATTTTTACGCGAAAACTTAAAATTATGAAATGCCTCATCTAATTCTTAATTCTATTATTTTGGTTCAGTTTTAATCGTCTTTGCAGAAGTTAAGCTGCTCCTCTTATACTAGGAGTATGACTTTAAGGAAATAGTTTTGATTCGTTGTATGGCTTAAATTATTTATTTACTTGATGGCAATTTTTTTATTGTTTCCGTACTCTATTTTAATTTTATATATTACATTGTTTCTTAATTTAGGTTTTGGAATCATTAAAATTTAGATAGCACAAATTTTATTATTAAATAATTTGTGTAGATTAGTGAAAAATAATATTTATATGAAAATTTTATTCTATTTCATTCATTATTTTTGAAATATTGTAGATATGTTAAATGTAAATTTAGATATATAAACTCTTGAAAATTATGGAAAATTCATTAAAATATTTGTCACTTATTTAACATTGAGTCATAAAGTTTACAAAACTAAAATAAAAATACCATTGAAATAGTTATTAACCTTAGTAATTCAAAAATGATTAATCATTTTATATTTATCATTCTGAATTTAAAAATAATATCCAAATTCAGTTTGATATTTGATTTTCAATAGAATTTTAAATATAAAAATTCCTACTTTTTCAGTTTTTTTGAATTGAATAATATTGAAAAAAAATGAATTAAAATTCATACAAAATACATTGTTTTTAATCTTTTGTAAAGTAATCATTATAGTAGGCTCAAGAATGCCTTTTATTAAAAGTTACAACAATTTAAGTACCAATATTATTGAACTGGGCATTTAGTTATGAGTTATTAATAAATAAATTATAAATATCTAATTGCTATATTTTATATTTATAATTTATTAATGGTTTTTAAAATAATTCACATTTTTATCATATAAGTATTTTTCATAAATTTATTAAGATTAATTTTATTTTTTTTGAATGTTATAAGATTACTCTTAATAATTTCTCTTCTTATAAAAATATTAATTAAATCAATATAAAATTACTATTGTATAACATACTCTTATTCTGGTTATCGCTCTTAATTAACAAATCCTCTTTGATTAAATTCCAGATTAAACCAAAGTTGAATATTTTTTTTACAAAATAGTAAATACATTTAAACTAAAAATTTATGAGTGATAGTTATTTTTTACTCTACTTACTACATTTTCTGGAGTCAAAAATACTTTAACAAAAAAATTCCATCTATAATTGGATATTCATTATTAGACAATGATTCAAATTTATTTAAAAGTTCTGAAATAAATTGTGAGATTATCTTAATTTTAATTCAAATAACTAATATTGCACATTCATTACTAAGATCACCCTAAATAATGTATCATGGAATTTTTGCACTTAAGTTTAAAAAATAAATAATTTTTATCATTCAATTTAATAAATTTTAAAGCTTAACCTAATTAGCTTAAGAAAGTTCTAAATAAAACATAAATTTTTAGTTATTGATGTAATTTCAATTTTTTCAAATTATTTAATGAAAAAATTGAATAAATATCTTTAAAATTATTAAAAATAAAATCATTGATATTTGATATGGTTAACAAAATCTTAATCAGTCTTTTCTGAAAACTTTTCCAAAATACAACCTCCTCTTTCCTTCATCAATATTCTTAAATCTTCTCCCTTAGTAGTTTCAAATTTTCCTTGCAATATTAAAGTTCAATTTGCTAATAAATATGGATATGGAGCTATAATTCGAACTGGAATCTTAGGGTTAACTTAATTTAGAATATAATTTAATACCCACTTCTAGGTGGAGATTAGTTTTAAACATTGGCTTTTTAAATTTTTCTAAAATCCCTTTATAATGACTATCCGAAGTTGCAATTTCATTTCCTTTTTTAACAGGACGGATAGACTTATCTCCCTTACTCGTTGCTAATGTAGTACCATAAGGAGAGAAGCATGCTGATAGGATTTCTTTAGTTTGACCATCCAATTAATTCTTCTATTCTTTCTTAATATTCCATATACGAATAGATTTATCTCCACTAGCAGATGCTAATTTAGTACCATCAGAAGAAAAACAGACCGAGAAGACCGCATCAGTATGACCATCTAGTATGGCTTTTTATTATCCTGTCTTAACATCCCATAAACGGACAGAATTATCCACACTAGCTGATGCTAATGTAGTACAATCAGGAGAGAAGTAGATTTAGAATATAAACTTTGTATGACCTATTATTTTGGCTTTTATCAATCCTGTCTTAACTTCCCATATAGAGATAGTATTATTTGCATCACCTGATGCTAACAAAATACCATCAGAAGAGTAGCATTATGATATAGATTCATGAGTATTTTACATTTAGTTAACCCTTTTATTTTCCTGCTTTAAGATCCCATAACATGATAGACTGATCATTACAATATGTTAAGGTAGTGCCATCAGGAGAGAAACAAACAGAATAAATTATTCCATTCTTACCTTCCAATTTGAGTTTTTCTTATCCAGTCTTAACATTCCATAAACGTACAGTCTAATCTTCACTACAAGATGCTAATGTAGCACCATCAGGAGAGAAGCATACTTACCAGATTCTTTCACTATGACCACAAAATTAGGCTTTGAATTCCATTACTTGAACATTCCATAGACAAATAGTTTAATCTCCACTACCAGACGCTAATGTATTACCATCAGGAGAGTAGCATACTGAAGTTATACAATTAGTATGACGAGTTATTCTGGCATCTAACATACCTGTCTCAACATCCCATTAACAAATTGTCCCTCCCATACAACCCGATGCTAATTTAGTACCATTGGGAGAGAAGCATACTGATTTGACAGCACTCATATGATTTCTCGTTAGGTACATATCTACTTTTTTAACATCCAATAAAAAAACAGTTTTAAAGCAAGCAGTTAATAATGTAGTACCATCAGGAGAGAACTAAACTTTGTCAATCCTAGTCGCCAAATTCAATTCTTATTTTTATTCTCCTTTTTTAAGATCCCAGAAAATTATCAACTAAGTTTATTTACAAGATGCAAATATAGCACTATCGGGAGAAAAGCAACATGGTGCTTAACTATCCAATTTAGCTTTTAATTATCCTGTCTAAACATCCCATAATTGAAGAGATTTATCAGCACTATCAGATGCGAATGTATTACTATCAGGAGAGAAACATTGTGGTTTCTGATTATCCAATTTGGTTTTTAACTATCCTGTCTTAACATCAATAAAAGCAATAAAGTTATTTCCAACAGATGCTAATGTACTACCATCAGGGGAGAATTAATATAGTTTCTGATTATCAAATTTTGCTTTTTACTATCCTGTCTAAACATCCCATAAACGGAGAGACTCAGAACTATCAGATGCTAATTTAGTACCATCAGGAGAAAAACATACTTTGTTAATCATTTTAATGTGACCTTCCAATTTAGCTTTTTTTTTTTTTTCTTAACGTCCCACAAACGAATAATACTATCTAAACCACCAGATGCTAAAATCCTACCATCAGGAGAGAAGCATACTGATTATATTGTACTAGTATGACCATTCAATGTTGCTTTTTATTTTCCTTTCTTAATACTCCATAGACGGATAGAGTAATCTTAACTACTAGATGCAAATATATTGCCATCAGGAGAGTAACTAATAAATTAAGTGAATTTGATCCACTTTAGATAAATTAATTATCATTTGCTGTTAGGCGAATTAAGAATAATAGGAAATGAACAATATTTCTGTTTAATATTTTCTTAGTGAGACCTTAGTTGATTTATTAATAACTTTTTTCTGAATAGTCAATTTGATTAAATTTATGTTCACGAATGTTTTTAAGGAAATTAGCAATAAATTGAAAGTTAGTTTTTCCAAAATTTAAATTCTTTGTTTGATTAAAATATCTCTTCTTCAATTTCTTTTGATGGTTCGAAAATCTCATAAAGATCTTCTTTCTTTTGCATTATTATTATTTTATTAATTTCTTTTAATTTACATTTCTTTTTCCTTCTAAAATCACAAATTAAAAATTAAAAGAAATTAAAAAAAATATTTTATGCATTTACATTAATAAGAAGACTTGATAGGAATGGGGTTGGCCCACTAGTATGTTTCTTTCAGCAGTCACATAATGTTGAATTCTCTAACCATGTTGTTGAATCTGCTAATTTATTTATTTTGAGGAAAAAAAAATTTGAAAAAAAAAAAAAAAATTTTTA